GGGTGTCTTCAGTTAACAACAACCCTATTTTAGTTAAAAGCAATCCACAGCAGGCGATATCAGTAACATCCACAGGAATAAATGAATCACTTCACTACAGAACAAAAATTTATTTTGCACTGAAATAGCCACAATTTTCTATGCTTGCTAGTACTATGTTAGGAGGGGTGGAGAAAGTAAGATAAAGTTGAAGTTTGGTTTGATTTAGCATGCTCAGCATGTTGTTTCTTGCTTGGAACTGAATCTTTTTCTGTCATACAGCTGCAATCATTCATTCTCTTCTAAGACTTTATATGAAAAATCATGTTTTCCTCATACTTTTCCTGGTGCAAAGCAATAAAACCTTACTGCACTCAGCACAAGCTTGACTATGATTTAATCTATTATTTTATTGCTGGATTTATTTTTGATATTTGAAGTTTGTGAAAGACTATTGTTTTGATGTAGTATCTCCATACAATGGCCAAAAATTTGAAAGTAATTCACATGATCTAAAGTTATTTTGCAAAGTTTGTCACTTTCTGCTCATGCCAATGCAAGATATATATTAGAGACTTTTTCACTTCAATTTCTCTGTATTTTACTTGTCAGTGTTTTACTGTGCACTGGAGGTGACTGCAGACACAACAATCAGGGAGAGAGAACAGTGAAAGTAAGGACCATCAAGCAAGTTATTCAGAACCTTTCTACAAAGTAAGCTGCAGCTGGGGCTGTTTTACAGAAGATCTGTGATAAAGAGACCACAACTCTACATACAGAAGGAGAATCAGTTGTGTGTGGAGCTACCCATAGCCATAAACATAGGATATTACTTGAAAAATTAAGTACATTTTAAACTATGGAAAAATTATGATGCAAAATTTTTGAAATGCACAGTTGTATATTAATGCATTATTAAGCTTTTCTCAGTGCTCAGTAGCCAGGCCTACATTAGCAAGTACTATGGCAAAACAGGAATTCATTTGTGGATACCTTAGTGGTGAATACTGGGGACCCAGCGTCCATATTAAATATTTCCAGTAAATGCAGAAGAGCAATAGGAAGCAAGAACCTCTGATATCTGCCTTCATTACCTTTATGGCTACAGGGCTTTGGGGATCAACTGAACAACTGTCACACCATGACCACAAAGCTGTTTTTCTTTTAACAATATTAATACTAATTTACTTAATAAAAATGAGTTATTATGGAGCACACTTTTCTTTTATGAGAGCATATGAAGGAAAGTAGTATATTTGTCTTATTTTTCTCCTTGTTGAAAGAAGACATGCCAAACTAGACATATTCATGAAGATGTATTTTCACACTCACTGCTTTTACAAGGACTTACAGTGTTTGCAGCAACAAATTCCACCTGACACATTGCATTTCCTAGGCTTTATTTATCATAAGTAAAAGGCACTTCTGAATGCCCTCAGCACAATAAACAAAAGTGGTGGATTATACAATAACCAAAAACCCAAAACAACCCTGACCCCCAAGACAGAAGAATCCCAAGAAAGATGGGAGGTAAAAAAGAAAAAAAATAATGAAAGCTACTTGAAATGATGAGATTGTGAAATCCCAGAAGATTGAGAAACAAACTTTCTAAAAAGAATTGTTGATACAAACATTCCAACAATGATTCCACCAATTCATGTTGGAATTTCCCACCTGATTTCTAATGTATACCCCACAATAATCCCTGTCTTTGAGATCCCTGTAACCACAGTGTGGTACACATTTCCCTCATTAGCCTCCCACCTGCAGGACCATGGAAGCTGCCTTTGCACTGACCATTGCCAAGCACCATTTAGTGCATATGGGGTGTGATTTTATGCTTCAAAACTCAAAAAACCTCCTCTGGCTTAGTGGGAAACACTTCAGCTTCTGACAGTCCCAAAGTTATTCCAGGTATAAGGCTATAAGGTTTTACTTTGTGAACCTTGGGAAGAAATACGGCTTAGCTGTGGATTCTCCTGTTTCTAGCACAGACTCTCTATAACTCTCATTTGCCACAAAGCCAAGAAGACAACTTGTTGCAATACGTCACCAGAATACTTTTTTGAGGGTTGACCCTTACAGTTGATTTGGACTGCTGGTAACACACTTCTTCACCTGCCCCAGGAGCAACTGCTTTGGGGATTTCTCTCTCTCTTTGGTTACTTTATGTAGTGGCAATGAAACCATAACAAGCCTCTTATGGAGTATGATCCTCATCCGTATTTGGGCTCTAGAGTACCAATTGCAAATAAAGGAAATGGGAATAACCTCCACCCTTGGAAGCCTTTTCGGATTCACAACATCATAGCCTCTAATTGGCACGCTATAATAGCCCTAATGAAGTAGGAGAAAAGAGGAATACTTTCAAGATAGCGATACTGTTTTGTAAAGTGTTTATGATAAGCATTTGTCATACATTGATTCTACCCCATAATTTACAGTCTTTCTCTTGGTACCTCCAATTTTGTGGGTTTGTGCTGCCACAACAGTGCACATATGGACAACAACATTCCTATTCTACTGCAACACAACGGACCTTGGAGATCTTGTCATCCTCTTCCCAAGGCCCTGCTCTTTTCTGAAGGTCTTACACATCAAATGGCTATAGCCACTGCTTCTGCTACTCTCAGCAATTTAGTTCAAGTCCAATTCAAGACAACATCTTTATTTTAAAAAGTAACTGAATATGTATATTATTTTTCAGGAGTCCTTTCCTGAATCGCAGTGCCACACATACAGGAGACAAAACAGACACGTGAAGAGAGACAGTAAATGTCCTGGAGTACCTGATGGCTGCACTGCTCCATCTCTTGGACCAGGGAGGCTGCACATCTAAACAGGTACCTTATGACAGTATATATTTGATAACACGGGAAATATTTAGAGTTAATTTTAAACAGCATGCAGAAATTTCTGCCTGCTGCCTTCCCTTTTGTCCTGGCCTGTTTTGAGTTGATTTGGTATTTTTCTGTGGTTTTTCTTGGGGGGATAGGAGCAGGGGTGAGAGAGGGCAAGGGCTGTTTGTTTTGGGTTTCTAAAGCTGCAGGTAAACTCACCACTGAAAAGAAGGACAAAAAAATAATTTCAAGTGAAAGCGTTCATTGCTATCTGTCTTCCTATTAAAGAAGTCTTCTTTGTGTAAGCCTAAAAAATATTTTAGAGAGAAACAGTATCTGTAAAGGAGGGATGTTGTCATCCTGTAGTGTTGCTAAATACAAGTGGCAGGTAATACTCATTCTCTGGATTTTCTTTAGCAAGCACTGCAATGTACACAGAGCAAGGATTTAAAATAATCAATATGCTCTCCAACACTACCGATAAGCTCCCAAGCTGCAGAAAACTGCGACATACAGATTCTTCCTCTCTGAGTATCTGTTGTACACTTTGCCTCCCCTATAAAGCCAGGCATCAACTTTTTTTTTTTTTAAGATGCCTGTGTGGTGTAGTAGGGATTTTCAACGGAATCCGATAATGTGTAAAACCACAACTCAGTTATCTTTTTGTGCTGAAAAGACCTTAGAAAAAGAAGGTTACAACAGAACACAAAACCTGAATTCAATAAACTCAGTAGGGCTGATGCACTATTCAGGTTAAGACACTGTAAGGCCATTAATCTGACAGGAAAGATGCCCCTGGAAAAATGTCATTCTATGTATATCGACTTGCAAGCATTTTCTTTTTCTTCTTTTTTTCCCCCCCAAATCTTGCTATACATTGGTGTTAGAGGGGGAGCTCTGACCTGTTTTGCTTCATAGGAGTTGGAACTGAATGGATACACTACATAGGAATCCACAGGTAAGCCATGCTAAAATCAGCTACTCAAACTTTCCTGTAACTGATACATCTTGCGCTTTACCTGCAAGATCGATCTGTGTTGTGTATGTATGAACTGCTACACATATAAGCAGATGGGGATTACATGGGGGGAAAACCAGAAATTATAAAAGCAACATGCAATTAAAAACTATAATTTACCAACCAGTGACTTTAATGTTTATACAAGAGAAAACATAATTAGTGCTGTGCAAACTGGGAAGCTTAAAAAATAACAAATAGAAAACACACCTCTCAGAGAGCACTATTATTTTTTGACTCATGCTGCAGAGATGCCGTTGTCTCTGTAGATGGGTTTTATATTGCTTTGCTTTTTTATTTTGTAAGATGACAACCCAAAATCTGAAAGCTGTTTTGTTTGTCTCAGAGTGAGCTTCTCAGAACTGAAAAATAAATAGTACTGTTGCTTTGGAAGCAGATTCTAAACAGTGAAAATGTGAAGTGTAGTTTATTCTAAGCTGTATTTTATTGAAAAACAGGATGTATATTTTATTAATAAGAAAACCTCAAAACCAATACTTCAAAGAACCCCAACAACAAAAACAACCAAACAAAACAGGAGAGAGGGCAGGGAAATATGGCAATTAAAATTTTTTAAACAAGAAATCAGAAACTGAATGACACCATGAAACAGAGGGAGAATATCCCAAGACTTCATACAGATGGACTTGACCCATGTTATTCTTCTTTGGAAGACCAAAAGTTAAATAACATGTGCAAAATGTTTCAATGACCAACCTGAATTTTCTTCCAATTTGTCATTTCTCTAGAGCCTTTTCCCCTTAGTGCCTGGATATATCTCTCCATAAAGACAGGCAACGTCTCAAAAATTGAGGTTTTTACACCAACTTCTAAAAAATAATTAAATTTTATTTTATTTTAATACTACTTTCTTTTCCAGTTCTCCAGAATTGCCACAACATGGGACTTCCCTTAAGTGTTCTCCAGTAAAGAGACACACAGCCTCAAGGGACTATCTTCAAAAGTCAGAAAGGACAGGCTCCTGCCTCAGAACAAGAGAAAACTCTAGCTTCCACATGCTGACAGGTTCACAAATACAAAGACCAGAGGTTCTCTTCCCCGTCAACATTTGAATGCACTGAAGGAAATGTCCTAATTTTTTTACTTACCCCCAATCCAAGATAAAAAAATTGAATAAAGAAATAGATGGAATGAATATCTACCTCAATCTGGGTGGTGTTGTCATGTCCTTCTTCAAGCAGCAGGTCCGTGAAACCCCCTGGCTCAGAGGAATCCTGCCCCATGCTGGCTCTGTTGGTGTCAATTGATTTGAGAGACTCTGAGTGCCTTCTCCACCTGTTGCTGCTTACATATGAATCCACTCGCACATTTTCCTCCATTCGAGGGAAGCTCTGAACAATTTCATAAAACACACCTGTTTGACAAGACAAAAAAAAAACAAAACAAGATAATAAGTGAGCAGAACGTTAGTTTACTAATCACAATTGAAAACTTAAAAATTTTTTATGAAGGTTTTGACCAACTCCATAAAATAGCCATTTACATTTCTCATAAATTTTCTACAACAATATAAGTGTTTAAAAGAATAGACAGAATATTATACTTTCAAATAATTCAGAAATTTGGACTTAGTTTTGTAGACTCCTCTAAATATCCTACATGTTTTATTTGCCTGATTACTTTACGTCTGGGAAAAGTTTTACCTGTAACTCTTGTAACTTTAATACATGCCTAACCATAGTTGTCCCTTTTCAAAATAAATCTAACAAAAAATATTTTAATTATCTAAGAAAACAAATCTAGAAAAGGCAAAGAAACACTTGTACAGACTTAGTTTTTCCTACTGATTTTATGTCAAAAGAGTTTGGAAGCATTGGTGAAAGGCAAATAAACATTATGGAAAGATGTGAAATACTCATAAACATCTGTTCCAGTGCAAAAATAAAGCTGTTCTGTTGTGTAAATGATAAATATGAATGATGTCTGAAGTCTGCAAACACCCACTATAACATCTGCAAAGGGTGAGCAGTTGAGTGGTGTGGTTTACATATTCCTTTAGGACATTTTCATATTCATTCACAACTTTTTTCATGCTAGTAAAACTATCAGCAAAACAGAACAATAAAACTATCACCAGGCAAAACCATAAATTTTTCTGGTTTGCCCAATCCAAAAAACAATCAAAGTATTTTTCTGATAATTTATTTCTGCTAACACCATCAAAACAGGGTGGAGTAATTTTGTATATTTTGCACTAAAAATCAGATATTTCTTGTACTGTCTTTGGATGTAAAAGGAGAAGTAGGGGGATGTTCTGTGCTTTTCTTGTGCCAGGAAGAAGGTGATCTGTTTCAAAAAACAGAAAAAAATGAACTTTCAAGAGAAGTGGCAAATTAAAAGAAAATAGTGAAAGGGTAGACTGGTAAATAAATTATCTGCAAAAATATTTCCATTGCTTTTCTTTAACTGAACCTTCTGAGCAAAAGAAGCAGCCCTCCCAAGGTCTTTACTAAGCACTGCCTGTATTGTCTAAGTTGCTAAGACATGGGAAAATAGAAAATTACCTATCAAAGGCTTAAATAAGTACAATTTTCCTGCATCACAGCAGGAACAGGTGTAGGAGTCGTGGCTATAGGAAAATCTGCCAGACATTGTTTTTGACAGACCAGAAAGTGTTGCAATACTAGAAACAGTCTCTAATACACTTTAGGCTCTGTGTGGTTTCATTTTTCTATCAAACTCCCCTAAACCTACTAAACTTACATCCTAAGATATTTGACCAGTATTAACCAAACTGAAATCAATGTGAGCCGAAGGTGTTTTGTCACCTAGAGAAACCAGAACTTACTAGACATGCAAAACAAGCAATCTTGAGCCATATCTTTCCTCAGACCCCAAGTAATCAGACTTCTTTTAATTGGTGGCATTTTGAAAACCTGTTTCCTTGCATTTCTTGAAAGACTTAGAATATTGTCTCCAACAAATTGCTACTGTGCTCCCTATTTTATCAGGCAATCAGTAGCCAGATGCAGAGGGACAGCTCAGCAGATGAACTAACTTATTCCTTATCAAAACCTATTCAAAGCAGCCCTCCCTGCTTTAGCTTGCAGGCACTTCACTGTGCTGTTATGGGGATAAGGCATCAGAAAGCCAACAGACACAGCAAACTTCTCAGATGCACTGGCAGACAGGCACTTTCTGCCTGTGATACACAGAGCCCAAGGCTGGATCCATGGAGACAATGTTTGCCCTCCTGCTGCAGCCAAGTCTGTGGCACTGAGACATCACGGCACTTTCTTCAAGGCAAGGCATGAGGAGTATTAGACACCAACAAATAGGGGTCCTAGGCCATGCCATATCAGGTACAGGTCTCCAGGTCCCCACTTCCTTCTTCTGGAGCACCTTTCCTGGCTGGCCTTGGTGGCTAAAAAACTACACTCAGCCAAAAAAACCCCTCATTTACGCTCATTTATTCCCAGTCCAACCTACTCTTTTCAAGGCTCACATGTTTGACTTGTTGAGGCAATCACCTAGATTAGCAAAAAGAACATATGAAAGTTAGGGGGTCTTAAATCCTATTCACCTCAAGATGAGCTCCATTTGTAAAAGAAAGCACTTATACCTTATTCTTCCACATCCTGAATAGAAATTAAGGTGATTTCTAACCTTTAAGGCATTCACTACATAAGCTGTTTTTTAAAATTATAATAATATAGTGATGGTGAGAAGAAGGAGAGAAGTATATTGGGGTATTTCCACTGTCTTGGAAACTTTACACAATTTTCTCTGTATTTTCTTTTACAGTATAATTGCATCATGGCATCTGCAAAATTTCGCTTACACCATTCCCCATTAGAGAAATCTTTGATGTCATTAATGCACAACTTTTATCCCCTTTCAACTATTTTAGTTATGTGATTTTTCTCTTTGAAACACAGAAAATGTTTTAAAACATAGTGTTTCTGCCATTACACTGATATTTTTTACAGGTACGAGCTATACTGACATAAGAAAGTTTTAGAATCATCTAACTGTATTTAGAACACATGATATCCTTCTAAATGCAATGGTAGCCAGAATTAAGCACATGAACTGATACCTTTTCAGTTTAGAACTAGTCTTCAGGGTTTTTTACACCATTATCTTTGAAATCTGTGAAACGTGGCTACCAATAGACTAGTTAACTGTCCTGGACTGGCAGAGTAGAAATACTGAAGCTACAATGTGAGATAAAATCTGGATGTGATTTCAAGGAAGAGAGAAATGTACTGTATGATTCCTCCTTCATTAAACATTTTCCTTCAGCTATGGGGGATGGAGAGAGAGAAGTGATGGCTTGGCTAGACCAAGTCTGCTCCAGCATCTCTCTCTGATTATCCCAGTAGATCTCTAATGCTCAGAAAATGACAAACATTTTTAAATGAGCTGAACAGGATGCTTTACTTTTATGTAAATAAAACTTAACTATATAAATTCTCAGATAATGCATCGATAAATTAATTTTAAAGTTTCAAAAACAGGCAGCTCATGAAGAAAAAGCATTCAGAAACCTAAAATTCCAATACCTTACAAGTTAGAACTATTTCATGTTTCTGGTTGGAATATCTGTGTAGCTAATAAATCACATAAATGGCACTTTAGAGGAAATGTACCAAAGTATTATACTCTTATCTTCTAGATCTTGGAGCTCGCACCTAATTAACACTGAAGTAGAACATGTCATTCAAATAAATTGGAAAGAAGCCAAATGCAGTAATATCTGTAGTGTAATAAAATCATAATATTGGCAAACAGACAAGTAGAACTTGTTCAACTTGTATGAACAGAGACACAAAACCCAACAAAGCCTTCAAATCTGTTAAAGTTGGAATTACAGTTTTCAACTGATATTTTTATGTGCAAACTGTAAGAGTGTTATATATAGTCCTGTCACTGGCATGCCAGTATTTCTGTGTGAAGGTCTATATGGCTGATACTGTGCTGAAGTATTTTGGAAGTAGTAAAAATAGAGTAGAGGTCTGTCTAATGAATATGTAATGAAAATGGTGTTTTGGTTTGATCCTTCAGCTCTTGTTCTTGAAATTTTCATAAAATTAGCAATGAAAATTATTCCATCTGCAGCTCCTTTCCTCCTTGGGTTAAGTTAAAATTTAAGATTACAGTGCTGTGGTCAATAAAGCTAGACAGGCAATAGAGTGGGGGTAAGGGAAAGAAATCCATAAAAAGCTTCACTGCTCTGAGATTGTTCAGTAACTTGGCAAGTTCAGAAGCTCTGTCACAGCTGGCCAGTTCAGCTGTTTGTAGTTGATGTGGTTGATCAGAATGACCACCAAAGGCTTTGAGGGAATAGGGACATCATTCACACAAACTGCAAAGGCCTGAGCAGAATATTTAGAGAAGACACTGTGGAAGAGGAATGGATGAAAATTATAAGGCAGACTCACTTTCGTTCACATCTAAGACAGGTGCTTCAAATTTCCTTCTGTACAGGTTTATATGTTCACATCAAAAAGGTTTTTGAAGGCTTTTGGCATCTATTGCTTAAACCACCGAATATCCAGATAATAGCTTTTTTACTCCTTGAGCTTGCCTTTTAACAAGTACTATATTAGCCTTTAAACTATGTTAAACTAAACTGATGAAAGACAGACATCCAAAAACCTGTGTCTTGTACATCAGGACCTGACTTTTGAGGTGGCTCTGCTACTCTGAGATTTTGGACAGGAAGATGTGTGTCCTGTACTACAAAATATATAGAGCTGCTTAACACTCACATCATTAACATAAATCAGTGCTGAAAGTGGACAACAACTGAATAAGTAGGGTATTGTGAATTATGCAAGGTGCTCTTACAGGTTGGAAATGCTGGGCTACACAAGACAGATTTGCTGAAAGGGAAGAAAACACCTAACTATGGTGGGGGGCATGGGTTCTCTGCTTTGCTAAGCCTCCCTAAAAGAAAAGAGGAAAAATTCTATGAAAATTAAACCAAAATGCAACAGCAGAACTTGACAAGTAAAGACCGCTCTGATTTAGTATGGAAGTCTGATCTGCATAAACCTTTATTTATAAGGAAGATCTATTTCACTTTACAGGGAAAAAGAAACATTATAATTTTAATTGCAGCAATGTAACCAAAGGAAAAATCACCCCAATTTGGAAAAAAAAAAGGCAAATACCATAATCATCTACCACTAATTCAACTAATATGGGTATTTTTCCCCCTTTTTCCATGAGGTCATACAAAGGTTTCTGGAACATTTCAGCACATCAGAATTTCAGAACTGTATTTTTGGAAAACGTGTTATTTACATTTCATGATTGCACACATTTAAGCCAACTCTTCAATTTGACTAATTTCATAAATGCACCATAATCAGCAAGATTTTTTTTTAAAGCCTAGAAATATTCTTA